CCGTTGCCTCGCCCGCCGCCGCGTCCATAGCCGTTGCGCTGTCCGGAGGAGCCGCCCTCACCGTAGCTGCCGCCGTGCTAGAGCCCGCCGCCGTGGTAGTCGCCGCTGCTGCCGTGCTGAGGTCCCCCGCTGCCGCCGCTGGAAGACTGCCGGCCGCCGCTGTTGACGCCGGGCCTGCGGGCGAGTAGGGCCGTGCTGCTCGAGTCGCCCATGGGAGAGCGTTGCCGGTCCAAAAGCATAAGAGCGGAGCGGGCTTGGAGAAAAGTGGGCAGCGGATCCTGAAATTGAAGAAAAGACGTCTAGGCTTGCAAATCTGCGGGGAGACCACGAAGCATCTGAAGAACCAATTGATGTTGGGACACTGGGGCATCAACATCGTCCAGCCAATCTGCAAGATTTTGCAGATGTTGACAGTAGGCCGCCATGGTGGTGTTGCCTTTGACAGTGGTACGGAACTCGTGCTCCAGTTGCATGGCACGAGCATTCTTGTTGTCGTGAAACAGATCATGAATAACTTTCCAAAGAGCAGAAGCGGTGGAGACAGAGGAGATAACCAGATCTGAGACTTCGTCGGAGATGGTGGATAAGATCCATCCCCGGAGGAGAGCGTCGAGTTAGAGCCACTCATCATCGTCTTCAGAGAGAGGGACGATGGAGCCATTGATGTAGCCTTGGAGATTGAATCGGTGCACCAAGAGGAGGAAAAGGCGACTCCACTTTTTGTAGTTCGGTTGAGAGAGGCTGAGAAGAACTGGAACATGGAGTTTGACATTGGAGATCGTGGTGAAGGCAAGATGAGGGGTTTTTTCCGGAGTGGAGTTGAAGGTAACCTTGCTTTCGTCCATTAGAGAGAAGAGAGCCGAAGGGAGAAGGGGGGGAGTGCCGCCGCTGGGGGACTGCCAACGTCGAAGAAGGGACGGCGGGGCGACGCTGTGACTGCTGCGAGGGAGAGAGAGAGCCGAGAGGTAGGGTTAGGTTTTTTTTGTTTAATTAGGCTCTGATACCATGAAGAATTATAATTTTCATTGATCGAAAGAGTTGTGATTACATGTATATATATAAGGGGAGTCTCAATCCTAATCAAGGTAGGAGAGACACAAGTAAGGAAACCTATACAAATAAGGTAAAGGAATAATACAATATATTAAATATATATAATATATTTAACAGATTTGACTTTTATAGAATTACATCAAATCTAATCAAATCAGATGAAAATAACAAACTCAAAATATCTTCCCTCTCATCCCCTTTCCTTAATAATATGAGACGAAGGGACTCCATGAATGTCTACATGCCCATGAAAATTCTAGATATCCTTAGAGTTTCCAACTCTTGCTATGTTTCGCTGTAGGAAAATTTACTCTCTCTCGCACGAGTACACGACCAATTAAAATAATGACAACAAACATTAAAATCACCACCCTTTGGCAAGTCTTCTTTTACAAAGTTATGCATGGCTTCCCTTGTTATGCATGTGTTTTAGATATGCGATCTTCATCCTCATTTTAGGGATTTGAATTAAAGGTTGTAGAAAACGACAACTTTAATGAAAATAGTTATGAACCATTTATACATGAGTCGAAGGGTGAAAGAGAGCTTAGAAGATCGAAGATACCTAGGTCGCACGATGAACGAAGACAAATAATTTTATGGTGTTGTGCCATTTGAAGTGACATCATTCCGCTCGTCCTTGTTTTTAAAATTTAAACATAAAATAACATCGACGAGGCTTTAACACTTCGTTATTTTAAATTCTTTTTAATTTCGTTACTTTAACCTCTTTTTGTATTATATTTTTGCATCTTAATATAATAGAAACAAATTTTGAAAATATCAACAAGATAAATATAATAAAAATTTATATATATTTATATAAACACTAATATATATTACAATTTTTATTTCATTGATGTTCAATATTTGTCTAACTTAATAAACTAAATGAATAAATTGGGAATATGTAAAGGAGGAAAGAGAATATTTGGCATTTATTAGCATTTATTTCTGTATAATTTAGTTATGGTAGTTGCCTTGTATAGAGATTCCTTTTCCTTTGTTAATTAGGACTCTTTGCTATATATACGTCTGGATTGTAAATTGTAAAACACAGAAAGGAATACAAATATTTTCATTCCGAAACAATTCTTTCATGGTATCAGAGCCAAAACTCTAGGAATTTCCGCACGATCGCCCGACATCGCGTCCATCGATCGTTGCCCGCTGTTGCTGCTGAGAAGACCGGAACGGTCGACCGTTTGTTCATAAGGGTCGGAGACATCGACCGTCTCGACGGCAGAATCTCCAACCGCTGCTGTTTGTTGGACAATGTGCTATCATGCATATATGTTTTTGCAATGTCCTTTGCCCATTGTCTTTTAGGTTTTGATAATGACAAAAGAGTGACAAAATATCATCATCATTTTGTGCATCAAGGCTAAGAATCAAAGCTACAACAAGTTCATATCCATCCGTGAAGAAGGGACTTGAGCATCGGTGGAAGGAACGAGACTGAAGAGGTTGTTTATTTAGTTGGGTAGTGTTTTAGGTCTTAGATTATGTGTTAAAGAGTATGGCATCTCTAAGGTTCATTCCCTTATCATCCTACCTTTAAAACACATTTTATATCAGCTTTTGTGTGGGGAAGTTGTCTTTCTATTCGAATAATCTCTAGTTTATTCGAATAAGTCGTGATCTTTCCTGTGACTGAAATTAACCTGTTTTATTCGAATAAATCACCATTTATTCGAATAAGTCCTGGTTTTTCAACCTGATTTATTCAAATAAATCACCATTTATTCGAATAGGAACTGGTTTTTTCAAGCCACGCGATTGATCCAAACTATTCGAATAGTTCTTGAGTTATTCGAATAAGTCGACAGTTTCAACTACCAAACGGCTAGTTTTTT